AATATGTATTGCTAAAATGTTGGCTGGTGTGACTTTCAATGTTAATTAATTTTCGAGCAGATTTAAGTCGAGGTTATTTAGAAAGTTGTGACAATGGATATTTGGATTTTTTATTGTTCCTCTACACTTTGGTTTTACTGAAAAACTATTCTAGAGAGAAAAGTTTCAAACTTCTGGCTGGGGTGGAAAGAACAAGTTTAGGGATTCATTGAAAATTTCAAGTAAATCTAAAAACTAATTTAGAAAAAATATTTGTGGGAAATTTTGTATAACTTTTATGATAAAAACAGGAATATTAGGAGCTCATTAAGCTTGAAACTGAAATGAGTGCAGTGAAAGACAACACTTTCTTAAAAATCAACTTTTAGAAATTAATTTGGACAAAATGCACCATGCACCCTCTCACTTTTTAATGTTTTTCCGAAAAAGATAGCTCTTCTGATGATAACATTCCTTTAAGCTTTTCTGACTTCGGAATTTTGGGTGAGATCTATTTAGTGAATCTCTGTACACAGGCTATTGCTCGCAGAAGCCTGTTATATCTGCTACACCTGTTAATGCAATTTGCCCAATGGCTACCGAGCAATTGAGGTTTGAAGATTTTGGAATCAGAATTCAAATATCCTTTATAAAAAACTCGATTTTTAATTTTTCAGTTTCGCTCAATTTTAACTTCATCAAGCGATAGGTGGGGAAAACAATTTTGACATCATTTATCAAAAGCCATTTTAGGCAGAAAGCAGAAACAAAAATAAAAAGTAAATCTTATTTTTGACTCTGAAATGTTGACATGGTCATGAACAATTGCCCATATCTTCGTTAAATGTCAAGCAAATAGAAACAAATTATATGCCATTGGAAAGAGCATTAAATTCTCTATAAATCTGATCTGTGCGCAATTGAGTTTGATATCTGGATAGTTTTTGAGCAATTGAGCCTCAAAGTTGACTTTTAGTCCAAATTTTGTCAAAAACTTCAAACTCAATTTACTTAAAAACTATAAATCTGGAAATATTGTAAATTACAGGCCATTTAGAGCCTAATAAAAGCTACAAATACTGAAAATGTCAATGCAATTTGTTCAACAGTTACCGAGCAATTAGTTTAGAATATTTGGAAGGAGGAATGTTTATGGAATGTTCGTAGAATGTCCCATCAAGACAAAAATATTTCAATATATTTTTGAAATAATTCGTCTATTTAAGGAATGTTTATAAAATGTTCCAAGAATGTTTCAAGAATGTCTCAACATGTTTTTTTTTTTGGAAAATTTTTGAAGAATATTCGAGGAATGTTTATGAAATGTTCCGGGAATGTTTCTAAAATGTTTCAGGAATGATCATAGAAATTTTCTGATATTTTATAACAATTTCGTGTATTTTACAAGATTTTTTCAGAATTTTACTGAAATTCTCATTATAGAAGGTTCCAGGAATGTTCATAAATTGCACACCAGAATTCCTTAAAAATTCTTCGGAATTCCACTAAAAATTCAATTAGTTTCAGAGAAATTTTAAATTTTCTGTATATTCACAGGAATTTTTTGGAATTTCCATGTAATTTCACAAATTACTTTTTGATAGTTCATGAGTATTTTAGGTCATTTCACGTAAAATTTTTTTGGAATTCCACTGAAATTCTGAGTTATTTTATGAAATTTTTTTGGAATTTTGCTGAAATTTGAAAAATAATTTCACGATTTTTTTTTTGGTATTTCATAATTATTTATATGATTTTTCAAGTAGTTTCTTGTGAATTTTTTGGAATTTCAGGAGAATTTTGATTTATTTCACAGGAATTTTTTCAAATTTTGCTAGAATTCCAAATAATTTCAGGATAAATTTCAAGTAATTTTATTTCAGTATAATTGCCTAAGGAATTTCAGAAGTAATTTTACAGGATTTTTTCGAATTGCAATGAAATTTCAAGTACATTATTTCATAGAAATTTTATGGAATTTCTAGTTATTCCGTAGGAAGGATTCTTTTGTCAATTCCACGGGAATTCCAAGCAAGTTTTTCACATTTTTTTTTTTTTTTTCAAATTTTTCAGTAAAATTCCCATCTATTCCACAGGAATATTGCTAAAATATTAAGTATTTTCACAAGAACTTTTCGGAATTTCACGAGAATTTCATATTATTTCACTTAAATTTTGAGTTATTCTACGGGAATAGGAATGTTCACTATTTTTCAATTGTAATAAAAAGTGGTGGTTCTAGGTCCACAAAACACGTATTAAACGTTAAAACATCTAGAAACCCTTCATTTTTTCTAATAAATCGAAAACAAAAAAACGAAATTAGCGAGGCTAGCAAAACGACTCCTTGCGGTGAGAGTAGCGCTTGTGACGTCACTGTGCGGAACTATTTATGATATAATAATTGCCTACAATGTAATTGTCTCTCTTCCGCTCATTGCAAAAAGTATTTGGACAATTAATAGAGTTCACTATTCAGGGTGCTTCCTAACATTCAATCACCAATTAGTTCATCAGTATCTTTATCTAAATGCATATGAAAGAAAAAGACACTAATAGTAATAATAATATTAATATTTTTTATTGCCAACAAAAATCGCAAAAGCAACGTCACAAAAGGCTGATCCAAGTAGAAAGTAGCGCCACTGTACTTGCGCGCGCTAACTCGTTAAATATTGTGACGTCAGAGAGCGTTTCTTGTTTTTAAACGAATATTGATATTTCGTCTCCGTTTTTCTCATAGAAAGAATTTTCTGATTTTCGTAAAATTTTGTAAATTTACTTAAGAAACGATGCTTAATAATTTGATGATTGTTAAACGGGATTTTTTTATTTTGTGAACATCCCTATTCCAGAGTTATTCTTGGGAATTCAATAAAAAATTTAAGTAATTTCACAAGCATTTTATGTAATTTACGGAAATTTTTGCGATTTTTTCTTTCAATTTTATGAGAATTCCAAGTAATGCCATAGAAATTTTTCAAATTTCCACTGAAATTACAAGTAACTTTAGGAATTTTTTTTTGGAATTTTACAAGGATTCCATGTAATTCTACAGGATTTTTTTTTGAAATTTAGCGAAAATTCCACGTAATTTTCTGGAATTTCACGAGAATAACTTGAAATTACACAGGCATTGAGTCGAATACCTACTCGGAAAATTTCGTTCAAATTCTTTCGCAGTATCACATAATTTTACCAAAATCCCACGTAATTCCACTATATGTAATTCTAAATAATTTCACAAATTTTTTTAAAGTTGCATGAAAATTTAATGTAATTTTTACGAGAGTTTTTTGGAGTTTTACGAGAATAACTTGAAATTCCGGGAGAATTACGTGAAATTCCACATAATTTTACCAGAATTTCAGAGAATTGCCAAATAATTTCACAAGAATTATTCAAAATTTCACGAGAATTTCATGTAATTTTTACAAGAATTTTCTAGAATTCCAGGAAAATTAATGAAATTTCATCGTAATTCCACTAAAATCGCAAATAATTTCACAAGATTTTTGATATTTGAGTAAGTTGTTAGTAGCTTATTACTTATTAGTTATTTCAAATTTCAATCATTTATTATTAATTGATTAATAAAAATTTGCCTGAATTTTGAAGGAAGTATAAGGTAAAATTCAGCGCAACCGTAACGACGGTGTCAAAGATCTCTGAAATGTACTGGAAAAATTCTTTTTTTTAGTAAATTTAAAAAAAAAAAATTGTACGCCAGAATTCCTCGTAGTTCTATAAAAATTCTCTGGAATTCTTCTAAAAATCCATGTAATTTCAAAGAAATTTTCTGTAATTACAAGAAATTTCACAGGAATTCTTTGAAAATTCACAGGAATTTTGAATAATATCATATATTTTTTTTTTTTTTGAATTTCATGAAAATAATTTAAAATTACGGAGAAATTACTTGGAATTCCAGGAAAATTATTGGAATTTCATTTATAATTTCACCGGAATTCCACATAATTTCAGAAGAAGTTTGCATAGTTTTCACAGAATATTGCATATTTTCTATAGAATTCCGCAGAAATTCTTTGGACTTTTGCCTAGTTTCTATGAAATTTCGCATAATTTTTATGGAATTCAATACAACTTAAATCCACATAATTTTTATGGGATTTTGATTTTTTTGAAACTCAACGTTGTTTTCCATTTAATTTTACTAGAATTCCGCGTAATTTTAATGGGATTTGGCATATTTTCAATGAAATTCTGCAAACTTTGTATAAAATTAGGCATCAATTCCATGGTATCAAGCATAATTTCAATGGAATCGTGGTTTCTACGGGATTTCGCATAATTTTTATGGAATTTTGCATAATTTTTATGGAATTCCACATAATTTCTATGGGTTTTTATGTGATTTAATTGAAACTTAACGATTTCTTTGGAATTCTACGCCATTTTCTCAAAATTCCATTTAATTTTCGCATCATTTTTATAAAACTTTGCATAATTTCTATAGAAATCTACCTATGATATTTTTTTTAAATTAAACGTTTTTTTTTTTATGGAATTCAGCATAATTTGCAAAAAAAAAGACTCTTTTTTTCGTATCAATTTATACTTTCCTCTTAATTTTTTTAAATAAAAGAATTAGAAAAATTCGAGGGCTCAAAATAGAAAAATTATAGGGCTACTTGTCTTTTCTCAAATTTTCTGTATCTCTGTCTCTTTTTGTTGCATCAATTTGTATTTTCTTTTTTACAAATTTTTGCTTGAATTTTCTCTGTCTGTCTATAAATTTTGTTTCAAGCTCTTGTTTTTTTTCTTCTCTTAACAATGACAATTCAAGAGTCTGGAATAAAAAAAAAGAAAATTCATGATTCTGCAATAGAAACACAACAATTTTTCTTGGTTTTTTTCTAAATTTTTGCATCCCAGAGAGTTGAAATTTGGTTTTTCATTTATGTAGTGATTCCTGACCAGATTTTTTTTCTATAAGTAATTTGGATATGTGTTGTTCACAATACAATTTTTCAAGTAACCGCAAAAAAAAAATTACTTACCGATACAATATCCTTGATGAGAGCCTTATCAGTGGACATTTTCGCTCTTTTCAAAACGCTCACGTTGGGCCCCACCCAAGTGAAAAGCAAAAATTTCGCTCTTCTGCTCATTTCGTCTCCAGTTTGGACTCGGATGTAGGCGAAAGCTCTGTCGTCTTCGCCAAAGTGCTTTGTGAATTCTTCAAAGTCCGCTCCAGTGGCCGATGTTACTATCGTTGGTCCTTCGAATTTGAAAATGGCCCTGAATTAAAAATAAAGGAGAATTTTAATGGACTATTAAGTCAAATACCAGTTTGGTGGGGAAACTAGCAAACGAAGAATGATTTTTCTAAGAAATTACTGCTGACTTTGATAAGTTCGTACTTATATTTATAGAAATTCAATAAGCTCTTGGCTTAAACATGCTAAAACTTCAGAAGAATTAAGCTACCAATATAAAAATTATTAATTTGAATGAAGTCCAAAGAGTTCCAACTTAAAATTTAATGTTTTTTCTATAACGAGATTCCCTATTAGTACGGTGAATTGAATAACCCAGCCAGCTAAAACACATTAATTTAAAACAGTCGTAAATTTTGCCGATAATGGAAATGTATGAGAAATTTTTAATAAGTACGTCATCGGCAACAATATGTTTACCATCAGGCCTAAATTGTTTAAACTTTCAGACCATATTGTTAATGGCTAAAAATTTTTTTTAAATTTCAATGTTGTAAAACGACAGCTGGCCTATAAATTTTAAGTAGGTATGGTAAACTTTATATCCAATTCTGATGTAAAATATCTGTTTTTATCTGCAAATTTCAAATTTAATATTGTTGTTATTTACCATTGAGTTTCTGATCCATCGTTTCTGACATCTTGATAGGCTTGTCTGACTCCTTGAGAATCTATGGTCGTCGAAAGGGCACCCTGAAATAATAAAAAAATAAAAACTTTGTAGCTTAAAATAACATAAGTAGGTAATTTATTTCAGGCACATACGCTCCAATAAAATTCTTGTACAATGTTATTTTGTATAAGTACCTATTTATAACTTTGATGGCGCACCCCCTGAGTGATTCACAGTCTTTCATTAGTCACAAATTTCCAAAGAATATATTATTTAAGTAAAGTTAATTTAAAGATAAACATGTCATTTTAATATTGCTGCTGGATACCTAGCTCTTGGAAAGTCAAAGTCGGTTAGTTTATGGCAACATTAATATTCTTCCAGTAAAAGCAATTCCATAATAATTAAACAAAATACTTTGTACTTAGTTTATTATTGGCTATTATTATTGTTTATAATAATTCAAATTCCAAGATTAAATTTCTAAAAAATCCTCTACTCTAGACATATTTGGTTCTTAAAAACGGGACCAATGCACTGTGTACAAATTCCTTTGTTTATCTTGGATATTTTTAGTTTCATTATCGGAACGAAATGTCGTCTGTTGTGTCTCGACAAGCGATACAAAATGAAAGCTTATCTTACAATTTTGTGAATACATTTTTGGTATAAATTTATAATAATAATAATCGAGCTGGTTTTGTTTACGTAGGCTTTTTTTTTGGATAGTATGATCTAATTTTCATTTTATAAATTCACGAGATGAAGTAGTACAGATGCAAAGAAAAGTTCTAAAATTCATGGGAGAAACAAGGAAAAGTTGTATAGGTACAATAACTACCTACATAATATACCTACCTATGAATAAGCTCAGATAGGTATATGAATGGAGTTTTTGAATTGGAGAGTAAAGAAAGTGAAATAATTAGCGGAATTATTGGCTTATTAATTTGAACTAATTAGAAGGTATATTATTAGTAAATTATTGTTTCAGGCTATTTTAGTGAGAACAATAATTGAACTTTTGTTGAAATGGAATGCCGACTTTATCACTGGTTTTATTTTGATATCTTCATCGAAAATTGCGATAATTATAATTGTAATAATGTGTACTATATGATTATTCAGCATTTGTGATTTGTGTCTTGTTTTTCTTGTATTATTTTATTGAATTACTTTCATTATTCATCTATACAGCGCGTTTCTGAATAGTGGGATCATCAAACTTCTAGAAGGATAAATAGCAATCACTCATTAAAATAAAAATAAAGTTAATAGAAACATGGGTCCACGAATGCGTTTTCGAGATACTTAGGGTTTTTATTGATCTAAAAAAACCGATTTGTTTTTTCAAACTTTGGCACCCTGTATCTCGAAAACCATGTTTCCACTATTAACTTTTTTAAATTATAATCAGTAAGTTTGATACCACTATTCGTCTATTCAGAAACACCTATTTGTATATTTATTCAAGTTAGTTCGTGCTTTAGTCCAGTAAATGCATGAGTTATATCACGTCTATTTGCTGAGTCCTCATTTAAAATGCTTATTCTGCTTTTCAGCTTATTATAAATATATGTATTTTCTTAGGATAGTTAGTCAGTTGAAATTTATTATACTTATAACTTTTATTGTAACGTGCTTTCGCTAGTAATAATTTCAAATTGTTAATAAAGTCATTTTTTAAAAACCAACCCTCGGTTGCTGACTTGTTAACTGGCGCAGTCGACAGGACGTGTTTTTCGGGACTGTTTATCGGTTCTTCGGTATTCGGACTAGCCGAAAAAATCGGACTTACGTTAATTGTTTACTGTGAGGTGTCAGAGTGGCTTTCTAGATATCGAAACACCCAGTTCATCGTGAACCTGTTACCTCGAAGTAATCGGAGTTTGGAACCAAATTGTCCAAATCTCGCATGGACCAAGAACCATTTGGAAGGACCATATCGCCAACCAAACCTCTGGGACTTATAGCAATGAAATTCTTCTTATTCAGTCTGTAAGTGCAATTTAACTTATGTCTGACGTAGATGAAATAATTGAAAAATTGAATAATTTATCATTACCGCCTTCAACTGACTCATCTTCTGATTCGGAAGATTTAATTAGAATAATTAATCAAACATTTTCTGAAAGTAACGGTGCCGAAAGCACATCTTTTGATAATCAAAACATTTGCATTGTTCCGAATTTAAACTCTAACAGTATGGCTCATTTCAAGCCAGAGTACCTTAGTTGTGTACCACAATTTGACGGAAATCCGAATGATTTGAACAGATATTTATCAGTATGTCAAAGCCTCATTGATGCTTTCTATAATGCTGCTCAACCAGATAGTTTTCAGAACATTTACTTGCTGAACTCGATAATCGGTAAATTAACCGGTAACGCAAAATTAGTTTTGGGAACCCAAAATGTAACAACTTGGGACCAACTTAAAACTATTTTGGGCAGGCATTTTGCTGACCAGCGCGATGAAGCTTGTTTAAATCGCGATTTAGTAATGCTTAGGCAACAAAATGGTGAAAAACCTAGCCAATATTACGATCGTATTTTACATATTTTAAATCTTTTATGTTCCTACGTGGATATTCATGAAACAAATGACGCTGCAAAATTGCTGAAACGTAATTTATACAATGATTTAGCTTTAAAAACATTCTTATCGGGCCTAAGGGAACCATTAGGCACGACAATTCGTTGCATGCGTCCACGAGACCTTCCGCAAGCTCTACAATTTGTTACTGATGAGTATAACACTCAATATTTCCAGAATTTTTCTAAACCTCATACACAAAAAACCATACAACACAATAAAACAAACACACAATTTAGAAACACACATTTTAACCCAGGATTTAATAGTCAAACATCTAACAATTTATTTACGGCTAAGCCAACATTTCCATCTCAGCCTATTGCTGTGAAACCAAATTTTAACAAAATCCCACAAAGATTCCCTACCAATTCCCAAGTATTCAAAAATAAATCCAACACAAACTCAACAAATGTATTTAAACCCAATCAAAATAGAACTTTCCCAAAACCTACTCCTATGTCAACAACTTCGAGGCAAACCTTCAATGCCAATGCTCAACAACCTTCTAGAAATTATTTCCAGTCCAACCAACCAAGTAATTTCATAGCTGAAGAACTATATAATACGAACGTAGTTGACGACGTTAACGAACCTCATGTTGACATTAATGAAAGTGACCCAGAATCCCTATACTACGATTCATCTAATTTTGACCAACTATATGGTTCCGAGTCTAATTATAACACCCAATATGCTGAGTCTGCTGGTTACTCTTATGATAACGCAAATTTTCTGAATCATGCCTCGGAAAATCCCCAAACTTAACACCTGAAATAATATCGTTGAATAATGCTTCTACAAGCGAGCTTCCATACATTATATTCCCAGAACACAATTTAAAAATTTTAATAGATAGCGGTTCCACTAGATCATTTATAAATCCTGAACTAGCTCAAAAATTGTACCCGGATAATATATTTGATGACCCATTTATTGTCTCCACCGTTTTTCAACAATCAGCACATAAGTACAGTGCTCAAATTCCCGCACCTAAAATCTTTAATTTACCACATAATAAACCTCTAAAATTCTACCTATTTAAATTTCACAACATATTCGATGGTTTATTAGGGCTTGATAATCTTAAAAACTTGCAAGCCAACATTAATTTTGATACAGCATTTCTAGTAACTCCACATGCAAGAATTAAGTTGCAGTTCCATAAAACTGACACATCAATATATAATGTTACTGTTTCTCCTCGAGTTGAACAACTTGTGAAAATTAAAACTGATATACAAGACGGCGAGGTTATTATACCCTACCAGAGGATACATAACTGCGAAATTCCCAACTCGCTGAGTATCGCAAAAAATGGTTATGCTATTACTAGCATTTTGAATAACACTTGCAAACCAATAACCCTTGATATTTCCCAACCATTTAAGGTAGAACCATTTAATCGAGAAGAATTGGAAAAAATAAATCTAAATAATTTCGAAGACTCACTTGATTACAAACCCAATTTTGACTGTTCTCAAATTCGCACCGATCATCTGAATGCAGAAGAAAAATCGAAAATCATCAAATTATGTGAAGAATACTCAGATATATTTTATCAAGAAAATATGCCCCTGACATTTACAAGTGAAATAAGACATTCAATTAAAACCACTGATGAACAACCGGTATATAGTAAAACCTATAGATACCCTTTTATACATAAAAAGGAAGTCGAATCACAGATGAAAAAAATGTTAGACCAAAAAATCATTCGCCCAAGCAACTCTCCCTGGTCATCGCCAATTTGGGTGGTCCCAAAGAAAGCGGACGCTTCTGGAAAGCAGAAATGGAGAGTAGTAGTAGATTTTCGTGGCGTTAATGCAAAAACTATAACAGACAGATACCCCCTACCGAATATAACCGACTTATTAGACAAATTAGGAAAATGTCAATATTTTACTACATTGGACTTGGCCAGCGGATTTCATCAAATACAGATGAATAAGAACGACATACAGAAAACCGCATTCAATACGGAGAATGGTCATTACGAGTTTCTTCGTATGCCGTTTGGACTGAAGAACGCCCCCGCCACGTTCCAAAGGACCATGGACAGTATATTACGAGGAATCCAGAACGAAAAATGTCTTGTGTACCTCGACGACATTATTATATTTTCCACGTCACTACAAGAGCACTTAGAACGACTCAAATTGGTTTTCCAAAGACTACGTGAAACCAATTTCAAAATTCAATTGGATAAAAGTGAATTCCTCAGACAAGAAGTAGCATATTTAGGCCATATAGTGACACCAGAAGGAGTACGACCAAATCCAGACAAAATCAAAGTCATTAAAAATTACCCAATTCCAAAAACAACAAAACAAATCAAAGGCTTTCTCGGACTACTCGGATATTATAGACGTTTTATAGATAATTTTGCAAAAATCACAAAACCCCTCACGAAATGCTTGAAGAAAGGTGCAAAGATTGAACACAACCAAGAATTTATCGAATGTTTTGAAAATTGCAAAAAATT